TCCTTGATCCATGCAGCTGCCCCCCACTTTCTGTGGCCGTTTGCGGTCCGGTACGCTGCGCATCAGCTCAACCTCTGGCCCCGTGTCTCCTTGCCGGAGACCTCGCCCACGCTGCTGTGGACGGGGGAGGTTGGCGATGCGTCGCGTTTCCGGGTCTGGGGGTCTCGAGCTTTTGTCCGCGATTCGTCTACGGACAAGCTCTCCTCCCGTGCTGTCCCCTGCGTCTTCCTCGGCTTTGTCCCGGACGCGTCTGGTTGGCAGTTTTACCACGCCACCTCGCGCCGAGTCTTGCCCTCCCAGGACGTCACTTTTGATGAGTCCGTCCCCTACTACCGCCTCTTCCCCCACCGCACTGCCCCGCTTCCCCCCGCGCCTCTCTTCCTCGCGCCAGGTGCTGCTGTTGCAGACCCCCTCCCCCCTCAGGGTGCCGCTCCCTCAGGTGTGTCTCAGGTAGACCCGGTTGAGCCTGTTGAGGTAGCTGTCGACTCTCGTCCTGCTGGGGGTGCTGAGCCTGGGGGTGCTGAGCCTGGGGGTGTGGAGCCTGGGGGTGTGGAGCCTGGGGGTGTGGAGCCTGGGGGTGCTGAGCCTAGGGGTGCTGAGCCTGGGGGTGTGGAGCCTGGGGGTGTGGAGCCTGGGGGTGTGGAGCCTGGGGTTTTGGAGTCTCGTGGTGCTGAGCCGCAGAGTCCGGAGTCTGGGGGTTCTGGGTCTGGAGGTACTGGGCCTGGGACTCCTACACCTGGAGGAGCCCTCTCCTCGGAGCAGCTGCGTACGTGGTACTTAGAGTACTGCAGCCTCCGGGGAGGTTCCACTCGTGCCGGACGTACTGCTGGGACTGGTACTAGTGCTTCTTCTCCCGTTAGGGAGCTCCCCTCCCGCGAGCGGATCCGTGAGTGGTACTAGCGGCGCTGCACTCTTCGGAGTGGCGTGCCTCGTGTTGCGGACCCCACTGCCGTTGGAGCTGCTGCTCGTGCTGAGGACCCGGGCGTTGGAACTGCCGCTGGTGCTGCAGACCCAGGCGTTGGAGCAGCTGCTGGTGCTGCGGACCCGGGCGTTGGAGCTGCCGCTGGTACTGCGGACCCGGGCGTTGGAGCTGCTCCTTACACTGGTCCGACTGGAGGTCTTACTGAGCGTCGTGAGCCTGAGTCTCACCCTACGTCACCTGTCCGCACTGCTCTCTCTAGCAGTCGTGTCCAGCGTCAGAGTCTTCCTGTTGTCTCAGGCACTCACCGGATGGCGCTTCGTCCGTCCACTGCTCCACAACGTGTCCCACTGCCGTCTCCTCATGCTTCTTCTCTTCCTGCTCTTGCTGACCCTGGGTCAGACTCTCTTCGTGCTGCCAGTCCTACTGTCACACGTCTCCTGGCTACTATTGTCACTGACCCTTCCTTTGAGTCTGCTGCTTCGTCTGCCTTAGTTGCTAAGCTTGTCGACTTTGCTGCTCGCTGTCGTCTAGAATACGCTGCTAGCCTAGTTGCTGAGTCTGAGTCTATCTGTCCTCCGTCCGTCGGGGGTGAGTGTGCTCTTGGCACTGACGTCCTTGAGGACAGGGAGGAGGAGTTTGAGTGCTTTGCTGCCGCTTTGCCCCATCTCGTGTCCATGCTTGTTGCCCCTGAGGGAGACCCGGATGCACCAGACATCCCGACCCCACGCTCTTACGCAGAGGCGATGGCCGGTCCCTACTCCTCTCAGTGGCAGTCAGCCATGGACACAGAGATGGCTTCTTGGAAGTCCACAGGCACCTACGTCGACGAGGGTCCCCCACCTGGGGCGAACATCATCAAAGGCATGTGGATTTTCAGGGTGAAGCGGCCGCCGGGCTCTCCGCCTGTCTTCAAGGCGCGTTACGTTGCACGAGGCTTCAGTCAGCGAGAGGGAGTTGACTTCTTCCAGACCTTCTCCCCGACCCCGAAGATGACCACTCTTCGGGTTCTGCTGCACGTCGCCGCTCAGCGTGACTACGAGCTCCACTCGCTTGACTTCAGCACTGCTTTCCTGCAGGGCAGCCTACACGAGGAGATCTGGCTGCGCCGTCCACCAGGCTTCACTGGGTCGTTCCCTCCTGGTACCCAGTGGAGCCTCCGACGGCGAGTCTACGGTCTCCGCCAGGCGCCTCGTAAGTGGCACGACACACTGAGGACTACGCTTGCGGCTCTTGGGTTCGCGCCTTCTACTGCTGACCCGTCGCTGTTTCTACGCACCGACACCTCACTGCCGCCGTTCTACGTCCTTGTGTACGTCGACGACTTGGTCTTTGCTACTGCTAAAGCTGTGGCACTCGCCCACATGAAGTCGGGGCTGTAGAAGAGACACACGTGCACAGACCTGGGTGAACTGACAAGCTATCTTGGCTTGCGGATCACCCGGGACAGAGCACGTCGCACGATCACCTTGACTCAGTCACACATGGTGCAGCAGGTCTTTCAGCGCTTCCGCGTCACGTACTCCTCGCCTCAGCCCACTCCTCTGCCTACCGGTCACTCGCTCTCAGCTCTACCTTCAGATGAGTCCGTAGAGCCGAGTGGCCCGTATCCAGAGCTTATGGGTTGCCTCATGTACCTGATGACCTGCACTCTACCAGACCTTGCATACCCTCTCAGCATTCTTGCACGCTATGTCGCTCCCGGCCGTCACCGGAAGGAGCACATGGATGCAGCTAAGAGGGTGTTGCGCTACTTGTGCAGTACGTCGGGCATGGGGCTAGTGCTTGGAGGGCGAGTCCCAGTTGTTCTCACTGGACACTCAGACGCTTCTTGGGCAGACGACCAGGCTACTCAGCGGTCGTCTCAGGGTTACTTCTTCAGTCTTGGCTCTGGTTCTATTTCTTGGCGTTCTACTCGCTCTTCTTCTGTTCTCAGCTCCAGTTGTGAGGCTGAGATCTACGCCACAGCCATGGCGGCCCAGGAGCTACGCTAGCTCACCTACTTGCTGACTGACCTTGGAGAGCAGCCTCGTTCTCCTCCAGTGCTGTACGTCGACAACAAGGCAGCCATTGCCTTGTATGAGGAGCACAGACTGGAGCACAGAACGAGGCACATTGCTCTGCGTTACTTCCTTGCTCGAGAGCTGCAGCAGCGTGGTCAGCTTCGCCTGCGTTACGTGGCCTCTGAGGCCAACACTGCTGATGTGTGAGAAGAGTTCAACGAGAATGAATGAACTAGGAATGAAGTGAGTACAAATATGAAACCCTAATAGGGTTGTACCCCCTATGGGATACCCCACTATAGCCTACACAAAAGCATAAGCTATATGTTCTGACACACCCCCATAGGCAAAGTGGGGGAGAACAAGGGGTCACAAGACCAGTCAAGCAAAACAAGACAAAGCTAAGGGTGGATCACAAAGTCACCAAACATTCTGAGCACAGGTTAAAAAAGGCCAAAAGGCCAGTTCACATGCAAGAACACATATATAGAGATATACAAGAGGCTAAGCAAGCAAGAGCAAGAGTATATATAAGTGACAGTACAAGCAAGGTCAAGAAGTGAGCAAGTGAGGCAAGACAGGCACAAGACCCAACTTAGTGCAGAAGCGCTGATGATCACAAGGCGCAAGTGCCTTGGTGAAGACATCAGCAGTGTTGGCCTCAGAGGCCACGTACGCACGCTGGAACTGACCACGCTGCTGTAGCTCACGAGCAAGAAAGTAGCGGAGAGCAATGTGCTTTGTCCTGTGCTCCAGTCGCTGCTCTCGACAGAAGGCCAGCATGGCCTTGTTGTCTACGTACAGGACTGGAGGAGAACGAGGCGGCTCTCCAAGGTCGGTTAGCAGGTAGGTGAGCCAGCGAAGCACCTGGGCAGCCATAGCCCCGGCGTAGATCTCAGCCTCACAATTGGAGCCGAGAACAGAAGACGAGCGGGTAGCCCGCCACGAAACAGAGCCGGAACCGAGGCTGAAGGTGTAACCCTGTGACGACCGCTGCGTAGCCTGGTCGTCAGCCCAAGAAGCGTCCGCGTGCCCAGTGAGGACCACTGGACTCCGCCCTCCAAGCACTAGCCCCATGCCTGACGTACTCCACAAGTAGCGCAACACCCTCTTCGCTGCAGCCATGTGCTCTGGTCGGTGTCTCCCAGGAGCAACATAGCGTGCAAGAATGCTAAGAGGGTATGCAAGGTCAGGTCGAGTGCAGGTCATCAGGTACATGAGGCAGCCAACAAGCTCTGGAAACGGGCCACTCGACTCTACGGACTCATCCGAAGGCAGAGCTGAGAGCGAGTGGCGAGTAGGCAGAGGAGTGGCCTGCGGCGAGGAGTACGTGAAGCGGAAACGCTGAAGGACCTGCTGCACCATGTGTGACTGAGTCAAGGTAATGGTGCGGCGTGCTCTGTCCCGGGTGATCTGCAAGCCAAGGTAGCTGCGCAGTTCACCCAGGTCAGTGCATGTGTGTCTCTTCTGCAGCTCGGACTTCACGTAGGCGAGTCCAGCAGTGTCAGTAGTAGCAAAGACCAAGTCGTCGACGTACACAAGGACGTAGAACGGCGGCAGTGAGGTGTCGGTGCGTAGAAACAGCGACGGGTCAGCAGTAGAAGGCGCGAACCCAAGAGCCGCAAGCGTAGTCCTCAGTGTGTCGTGCCACTTACGAGGCGCCTGGCGAAGACCATAGACTGGCCGTCGGAGGCTCCACTGGGTACCAGGAGGGAACGACCCAGTGAAGCCAGGTGGGCGGCGCAGCCAGATCTCCTCGTGCAAGCTGCCCTGCAAGAACGCAGTGCTGAAGTCGACAGAGTGCAGCTCGTAGTCACGGTGAGCAGCAACGTGCAGCAGTACCCGAAGAGTGGTCATCTTCAGGGTGGGGGAGAAGGTCTGAAAGTAGTCAACCCCTGCCGCTGACTGAAGCCACGAGCCACGTAACGCGCCTTGAAGACAGGCGGAGAACCCGGCGGCCGCTTCACCCTGAAGATCCACATGCCACTGACGATGTTCGCCCCAGGAGGGGGGACAGCGTCAACGTAGGTGCCTGTGGACTTCTAGGAAGCCATCTCTGCATCCATAACTGCCTGCCACTAAGAGGAGTAGGGACCCTCTATCGCCTCCGCGTAAGAGCGCGGAGTCGGGATGTCAAGTGCATCCGGGTCTCCCTCAGGGGTAAGCAGTACGGACAAGAGATGCGGTGAAGCGGCTGCCAGACATTGTAACTCCTCCTGCTTGTCCTCGATGACGTCCGTGCCAAGGGCACACTCACCCCCGACGGACGGAGGACAGAAAGACTCAGACTCTGCGACAAGACTAGCAGCGTAGTCTAAGCGACAGCGAGCAGCAAAGTCGACGAGCTCAGTAACGAGGGCAGACGCAGCAGAAGACTCGAAAGAAGGGTCAGTGACAACAGTAGCAAGGAAACGCGTTACGGTAGGACTGGCAGCACGAAGAGAGTCTGACTCCGGGTCGGCAAGAGCGGGAAGAAAGGACTCAGGAGGAGAAGGAAAAGGGGCACGAAGAGCAGCACTAGACGGACGCAGTGACATCCGGTGCGTGCCAGGGACAGGAGGAGGACGCTGACACGAACTGCGACCACTAGTGCGTGCAGGACGAACAGGTGACGCAGGACGAGATGCAGGCTCACGACGCTCAGTAAGACCTCCATTAGGACCAGCGTAGGGAGAAGGAGCAGGTAAGAGGGGAGCAGGCTGTAGCTGTGACTGGGACGGGACAGGCTGTAGACGCTCTAAGAGAGGAGGAGAGCCAGGAGAAGGTGGAAGACCATGAACCTGCTGCAGGAGTGGAACGAAGTACGGTCGAGGCCGCGCGGTGACACCAGACACAGAAGGGACAGCACCAGTACCCCTAGCAGGAGCACCCGCTCTAGTAGCACCTCCAGCAGCACCCCCAGCAGCTCCAGAACCCCCAGCAACACCAGGAGCACCGCCAGCAGGACCGCCAGCGGTAGTCTCAGCGCCAACACCCTCAGCAGCACCAACTCCAGTCGAACCCGCAGGCCCAGCAGCTCCGGGACCCGCGACAGTAGCACCCTCAGCAGTCGAAGAACCTCCAGCACCAGCAGTACGCCTCCAGCGCCGGGCAAACCACTCACGTAGCTCCTATGGGGAGAGTGGCTCTCGGCGAGACGAAGCACCCGGCGAACCTCCAGGCGAAGAAACACCAGGCTCAGCACCCCCTGGCAAAGCACCTCCAGGCTCTGCACCCCCAGGCTCAGCACCCCCAGGCTTAGCACCCCCAGGCACAGCACCCCCAGGCTCAGCACCCCCAGGCTCAGCACCCCCAGGCTCCGCACCCCCAGGCTCCGCACCCCCAGGCTCAGCACCCCCAGGCGCAGCACCTCTAGGCTCAGCACCCCCAGTCTCAGCACCCCTAGGCTCAGCACCCACAGCAGCACCAGAGTCACCAGTGACCTCGACAGGCTCGACCGCGTCTACCTGGGACACACCTGAAGGGGCAGGACCCTGAGGGTTAAGGGGGTCTACCGAGGGGGGACCTGGTACCAAGAAGAGCGGGGGTGGGGGGAGGGACGGAGTGCGGTAGGGGAAGAGGCGGTAGTAGGGTACTGACTCGTCGAACGTGACGTCCTAGGAGGACAGAACACGGCGAGAGGTGGGGTGGTAGAATTGCCACCCAGGGGCGTCGGGGGGGAACCCCAGGAAGACGCAGGGAGCAGCGCGAGGGGACAGCTTGTCCGCAGACAAGTCGCGGACAAACGCCCGAGATCCCCAGACCCAGAACGCCGACGCATCGCCAACCTTCCCCGTCCACAGCAGGGCTGGGGAGGTCTCCGGTCGGGAGACCCTGGGGTGGAGGTTGATTTGGTGCGCCGCGTACCTCACCGCAAACGGCCACAGAAAATGGGGGGCAGCCGCATGCATCATAGACGTACGAGCGACGTCCATGACCATGCCAATGCGGCGCTCAGCGATCCCATTTTGCTGTGGAGAGTCCGGAAGCGTGAAGGTCTGACGAATGCCCCGTGCGTGACAGTAGGCTCTCAGAAGGCCAGAGGAGAACTCTCCGCCTTTGTCCGAGTGCAGACGCAGAACAGGAAAGTCCGAGCCAAAGCTCTGCCTGAGCTGGAGACGAGTTGCGCGGATCCAGTCGATCAGCACCTCAGTGACATCACCCTTGCTGCGCAAGGGGAAGACTGTGGTGTAACGCGAGTAGTCGTCAACAACAAGCAGGAAGTAGCGCTCGTGACCTTGTCCACGGACGCGGGCTGGGCCCCACACGTCCATGTGAAGCGTCTGCAACGGGGCCTCTATCGGAGGAAACTGGGAGGAGTGAGGGGTAGCACGCTGGCGCCCCTCAACACAGGGGACACAGGTAAGGCCAGGGCCCTAAGGAAGGGGAGGGAGGGACCGGGGGAGACCAGACACAAGAAGACGGGAGGCCATGCCTCTGAGCCGAAGCAGAGAGGGGTGACCTAGGCGGTGGTGCCAGAGGAGAGTCTCATGAGACAGGAGACGACACGAACAGGGGGCAGACTCAGGACCAGACACGGACGCTGCAGCAATCACCTGACCAGACGCAGGGACCCTACCAGACTCAGTAACTGGGGGAGACGCAATGGTCAGTGTGTACAGGCCCGACCTTGGATGACGCGTAAACGTAGCCAGGTGTCGACCTGTGCTAGCCTCTGTGCAGTGCGTCACCCGCTGACGAGCAGGGGTGAACTGGTGGACTCCCGCATCCTGTAGGTCAGCACCACTCACCGAGTTCGTAGAGAACGAGGGGAGGTAGAGACCAGACAGGGTGCCAGAGGGAGCCGCCGGACACGGGAGGACAGTGGAGAAGTGAGCGAGGACAGGACCCCCAGAGGGGTCAGCCAGGGAAACCGCAACCGGCTGACTAAGCGGCGTGAGTGTGGTGCGATCCCGAAAGAAGGAGCGAGACGCCCCAGAGTCAAGGGTGAAGCTGTGGGAGGCCGAAGCCGACGTAGTACCTGAGAGCGCAGACTCACCTGTACCCGAGGACGCAGACACACTAGCACCGAGAGCAGCAGCGTCGCAAGCACCTAGGGCAGCAGCCTCACCAGTACCTAGAGCAGCAGTCTCAATGCCCGGGTCGGGCGGAAAACACCGGTAACAGTCACCCTCATCACTAATGGTCACAGCATACATGGCAGCAAGGATAGCATCAAATTCAAGATCAAAAACAGCTACGCCAGCCCTAGACAGCTCTCCCCAGCGGGGGATCTCCGTGGCCTCCGGAAACTGCTGACGCCAAGCGTCCGTCAGGCGGCCAAAACAGCGCTGGGTGGAGTGGGCACCCCCACACTGCTCACCCGCGCGGTCGCCAGTGCGAAGGACATAGGTGCAGGGACCAAGTCCCCCACCACGCTGACGCTGCGTGTACCACTCACGGAGCTGCTGAGGGGTGGGGACGTCGCGAGAACGCTGCTGCTGCTGCTGGCGCTGACCACCCCCAGTGCCGCTCCGCTGCGACCTGCCACTCCGACCACCTCCACCACCTCCACCTCCACCTCCCCCACCTCCGCCACTGCCGCGACCCCCGCCAGTACCGCCGCCGCCGACGCCACCTCCGCCTCCACTGCTACCACTAGCACCCCCACCCCCACCACCTCCTCCACCGCCACCCCCACTCCCTCCGCCGCCTCCACCTCCACCGCCACCGCCCTCGCTAGCCCCACCTGCTCCCTTGCCCCCCTTGCCCTTGCCAGGGAGACGTCTCCCGCTAGGGGCAGACGCCGCACCGAGCGACTCAAGACCAACGAGGTCGGCCGCACCGGCAGAGGCGACAGAGGGCAAGAGAGGGGAAGGAGAACACCCCTCAAAGATGGGGGCGCGGGGGTCACCCCGAGAGGCACCTACAGCGACGATGCTCTTTTCCGCCATGAGGAGGGCCTTCTCTAGGCTGTCGACTATGAGAGTGGTGGGACAGACCGCAAGGAAGTGGTCCCGGACTACACGAAGGGAGTCAGGGAGGCGGGTGACTAGAAAGTAGAGAGTGATGTACATGGGGGGGGGGGTTCTTGGCGCAGAAGTCAGCAGGAAGCTTAGCGCGGTAGCGGGTGTCACTAGTGCGGAGGTGCGTAATGAGATCAGCGACTGTGGGAAAGGCGGCAAGGTCAGGGAAGAGGAAGGGTAGCATGAGGCGGCTCAGTGCAGCAGTGGCAGGGCAAGAGTAGCGCGCAACTACAGCGTCGTACAAGGTCTGAGCACTCTTGTACTGACTAAAGTGCGCGCGCTCAGCGGTAGGCAGGTGGCGACGCACAGCAAGACGTGCAGCTGCATCACGGGTGGCCCACTGAGAGCGAACAGTGGGGTCAGCATCAGCAGCAGGGGCAGGAGAGGCGCCAGAGGTGAGGTCAAAGAGAGAAAGACCGTCCGCCCTATCGCACTGTAAGAACAGCTGCAGGTCGTCGACCCAGACCTCAAAGTCAATGGCTCGACCCTCAGCGTCAAAAGTGAGGACACTAGGGGTAGCCATGACGACGAGAGACTAGCAGTGCAAGCAGTGTGGGAAGGGCACACAGTGACAGTGGGCTGTGCTCACCGGACAGGGCAGGTCGGGCGGCTCGGCAGACGGGCGGCTCGGCTGCTGGGCGGCACGGCGGCTCGGCGGCTCGGCTGCTCGGCGGCGCGGCGGCTCGGTTGCTCGGCGGCTCGGTTGCTGGGTGGCCCGGCTGCTAGGCGGCTCGGCTGCACGGGCGGCTGGGCGGCTCGGCTGCTCCTGTCCTCGTCGGCACGGCGGTCGGCTGCTCGGGTGGCGCGGCAGGAGATTAGAGCGGCAGGGCCGCAGCAGACGGGCGGCGGGGCCGCGAAGTGTAGGGCGGCGGGGCCGCGAAGCGCAGGGCGGCGGGGCCGCGGAAGCGGGGGGGGCGGGGCCGCGAAGTGCAGGGCGGCGGGGCCGCGAAGCGTAGGGCGGCGGGGCCGCTAAAGCAGAGTGGCGGGGCCGCGAAGTGAAGGGCGGCGGGGCCGCTAAAGCAGGGCAGCGGGGCCGCGAAGCGTAGGGCGGCGGGGCCGCTCAAGCAGAGTGGCGGGGCCGCGAATTGAAGGGCGGCGGGGCCGCTAAAGCAGGGCGGCGGGGCCGCGAATCGTAGGGCGTCTGGGTCGCGAAGCGTGGGGCGGCGGGGCCGCGAAAGCAGGGCGGCGGGGCCGCGAAAGCAGGGGCGGCGGGGCCGCGAAAGCAGGGGCGGCGGGGCCGCGAAAGCAGGGGCGGCGGGGCCGCGACAGTAGGGCGGCAGGGCCGCTAGGGGAGGGACGGCCGCTGGGGCGGCTGTTCGAGTGAATAGCCCGAGGCGCGACTCGGGAGGAGCGCGCTTCGGGCAGTAAAAAAAAAATGTTCGTAGTGGTGGGCCCTAGGAGCAGTTCCCACAGGGGAACCTGCTCGATACCATGAGAAGAGTTCAACAAGAATGAATGAACTAGGAATGAAGTGAGTACAAATATGAAACCCTAATTGGGCTGTACCCCCTATGGGATACCCCACTATAGCCTACACAAAAGCATAAGCTATATGTTCTGACAATGTGTTCACCAAGGCGCTTCAGCCTTGTGACCATCAGCGCTTTTGCACTCTTCTAGGCCTTGTGCCTACTGGACCTCACTTGCTTACTTCTTGAGTCTGTTTGTACTGTGATCTCTATATATATACCTGTATGTTTACTCTTGTTAGGTTGCCATCATTGTACCTTTTGCTCTATTATAAACCTGCATGTGAACTGGTCTTGTGACCACTTGCTTGTGCTCGGAATTTGTGTGGTATCCTTGAGATCCACCCTGAGCTTGTTTTGCCTTGCTTTGCCTTGACTGGTCTTGTGACCCCTAGTTCTCCCCCACTTTGCCTATGGGGGTGTGTCAAACATTATATATGTTGTGTTAGTTTAGGCTACAGTGGGATAGCCTATAGGGGGTACACAATTCTAGGGTTAGGTACTTGTACTCATTTCGATGCTAGTTCATTCATTCCTGTTCAGTTATTCCAACAAGTACCAGAGTTCGCATTTCACACTCAGCGACGCTACAACAACAACAACTGGCAACAACAACAAGTGAAGCCAGTACCTCCGTTCTGCCACATCTGCAAGACTCCAAGGCATCCTCGTACGCACTGCCCGTATCGTCAGCAATCGACAACACCACAGCGACAACTTCGGCCTTCAAGCTCCCAAGTCACTTCAACGCAAGCAAACCCGACAACTTCAATACAAGCTTCAACGACTCCAACAGGACAACCTGCACAAGGAGCAAGAAACATCGTCAACTGTATGGTGAAAATAACAGATTCCTGCACAACCGAGTCACCACCATACTACTCACCAGAAGAACAACTTGACAACAGCACGGCTCGCCACGAGTCACTACAGCCGAACCCGACATACGCCGCCATCGCTCAAAGCGAGCCATCCGGAAAGGACACTTGGTTCTTGGACAGTTGCTGCGGACAACACATGTGCTCCTCAGGGCGTTTCGTTCAACGCGAGCACCGACTTCAACGAGAAGTCGTCATCACCGTCGCCAATAATCAGAACCTGCGAACAAGACGACAATGCATAGTACAGCTTCAGTCATGGGAGACGAACGTCGTACTACAAATGTCAAAAGTACTAATCGCGGAGGGACTCAGCTACAACTTACTGAGCGTCAGCCACTTGATGGCGAAAGGCATTCACTTGGAAGCCGACAGTACCACCCAGGAGTTCAAATTATACCACGGGAAGGGCGGCCTCTACATTGGAAAGGTGGTCCTGAAGAACAACGTCTTCGTCCTTGACTTCGTCCCAGACCTGGGCACCGCAAACAGCGATGCCATCGTGAACTTCGCCGACTGGACACACCCCCCGGACCTCGACCCCGACTTCAGCGCGGAGGGCTTCTGGTATTCGCATACCATCCCTAAAGCAGAACGAACACGCGCGTTAGCAACAATTCAACATTCGACAGCAGCAGAGACAACATCGACAGCAGTAGAGACAATATCGACAGCAGCAGAAACATCATCAGCAGCAGCAGGACCAACGACACCAGTCCTCGTCGACGAAGCACCACCAACACCCGCACAACAGCTGAACCCAACTCAACGAGAAGTCCACAGAAGCGCGAACTTCGTCGCCAGCTTCTACTCCAACTCCGACGCGTATCGACGCTCACCCGGACATCGCGCCTCCGAAGACATCTGGCACGCACGCATGGGACATCCAAGCAACACCGTGTTAAACAATACAATAAGAGCAGGAGTCCTAGACAAGGATTCATTACTACTTCTCGACGGCAGAGAACTTCAACGGGCACGAGGAACTTGCCTCACCTGCCCCGAAGCCGACTTACCACATCGACCGTTTACTCCTCACCACAACCCGAGCGCACCCGCGTACGCACCATTTGAGAAGGTGTACAGTGATATTCTCTTCAATCGAGAACCAGGACAAGTTACTTACAACTACACGATAACCTTCATCAATGCCGCCACTCGATACGTTTGGCACCTAAACCCACCCAGCCGCGACATGGCACTCGCAGTGTTTGCCGCCTGGCTACCAGTAGCAGAGAGAGAGTCGGGAGCACAGCTGAAAAGCTTCCAGTCAAACGGAGGAGGAGAATACACCTCTCAGCGCTTCAAGCAGTAGCTGGCGGAAAGAGGAATCAAGCAGCTCCTCTCCCTTCCCTACGCCCATCAGCAGCAAGGTGTCGCAGAAAGAATGAACAGGACTCTGCCGAACAGCATGCGCAAACTGCTACGTGGCATGCGGCTACCCAACCACCAGTGGCCTGCAGCAATGGACCACGCTGTCATGCTGCACAACTTGATGTCATCGTCCTCACTTCCGAACAACGCATCACCGCATCTGCTGTGGACAGGGAAACAGGGCAGCACAAAAATGTTACGAGTTTTCGGGTGCATGGTACAGTACCGACCCCCAGAGGCACGAGCGGGAAGGTTTTCACAACATGCACAGTGGGGACTACACCTCGGCGTCGAAAAGAATTACAACACGTGGAAAATCTTCGACGTCCACTCCAAGGAAACAGTAGCAGCACGTGACGTGATCTTCTACGAACGACTCACGCTTCAGACGTACCTCGCCAACTTGCACGAAAATCAGGACCCCACAGGTGGCTTTCGTGGTGACCGAGCCTTCGCCTCAGCAGCGGACGAAGCAGACTGGGACGAGCAGACTGTCAACAACGCATCAGAAGAAGCAGGACCTCTCCTGTTCTGCTCCGTCAACGTCCCCATGGACGAAGAAAATCCTCGCGAAAGCGCCAACGCCGAAGTCTTCTACCACTTTGCCGACAATGGTTACGTAACACCTGCGACAGTCAACACCAACGAAGCAGAATGAATAGGGCCGAATTTCATACCCGACCAAGAAGCGGGAGATGAAGCAGCTTATCCCGAGGACCCAACACTCCCCCGCTACTCACAGACTGGACTGCAGATTCTCGGCCTCGTCACCGCAGTCCACGGCAATGCTCTTCCTAAAGAGCCTACGACAGTTAAGCAGGCTCTGGGGGGGGAACACAGGGAGAAATGGCGTAAAGCCATGGACAGAGAGTTAAAGGCGATGGAGGAACGCAACACCTGGAAAGTCGTTCCCGTAAGCGTGGCAAGGAACAAGACCATCCTCACCGGGAAATGGGTCTTCCGCATTAAAACAAAAGCAGACGGTACAATCGAGAAATTCAAAGCACGCTGGGTCGTGCGTGGATTCGACCAGGAACACGGACGGGACTTCACCGAGACATTCGCCCCGGTCAGCCGACATACCTCACTCCGAATTCTTCTCGCGATCGCCGCTGTGAAGAAGAAGAAACTGCGACAAATCGATGTCGCCAACGCGTTCCTCTACGCACCCGTCGACGCCGAAATCTTCGTCGAGCTCCCACACGGTACCCACGGGGAACCTAACCATGTTTGCCAGCTGCTAAAATCGCTCTACGGAATCAAACAAGCCCCGCGGCTGTGGCAACAACACCTACACTCTCGCCTCACTCGCATCGGATTCCCCCAACTGCCTCATGACCAAGGGATGTATCGACTCACAAAAAACGCCGACTATATCCTGCTGATCGTCTACGTCGACGACCTACTCTACATTGGGTCCACAGACGACATCACCACCTGGTTCAAAGGGGAGCTGCAGAGGGACCTCACACTCACGGTCTCCTCTACCGTCACGCAGTACCTCGGACTCAACATCCGTGAAGAAGAGAGCGCGATCTACCTCAGCGCCGAAAAATATGCCGACACTATCGCCAAACGCTTCTCGCTCACACCTACCACTATCTCCATGCCATACCGCTACACGGCAGGGAACAACAAGGGAAGTTCCGCTCTACTCAAAACCGCCGGAATGCGCGACTACTAGAGAAAGCTGGGCTGCCTTCTCTTTGCAGCCGTCACCTGCCGACCAGATCTGTCCTACTCCGCAAGTCAATTCGCCACCTACCTCAAGAGACCCGAAACAAAACACCTGGCCAAGCTCGACCGCGCACTACACTACTTCGTGAGTACCTCGACGATCGGCCTCACATACTACAAGAATAAAACTACACCGACGAAACTAACCGGCTACATCGATGCCGATCACGACGGCGATTCAGACAACAGGCGCTCCTGCACTGGCTACATCTACCGCCTCGAACCTATCGGACCTATCTCCTGGCAATCAAGCAAGCAGGAACTAATCGCTCTCTCTTCAGCTGAAGTAGAATATATCGCCCTTTGCTCAGCCACCAAGGAAGGACTCTATCTTCGCGAGCTGCTGGAAGAAGCGAAGTTAGCCGAGTTACCCAACTTCACTCTGTTCTGCGACAACCAATTTGCGATTCGCATCGCCAACAAGAGCGGATTCGCGAACAGAACGAAGCATATCGCCCTGCGATATTTCTTCGTGAAAGACGAGATCGAGAAAGGGAAACTCAAATTATCCTACTGTCCCATGTCTGAGATGGCAGGTGACTACTTGACCAAGAAGCTCGGAAAACAGAAGTTCTACTGTCCCATGTTCGAGTACTGCATGCTGCTGACTGGACAAAGCCACGTCACCATCAGCGACACTCCAGAAGCGAAGGGGGGTGTTGGGAACAAATAGTCTTAAGCGCCTCTGTCGTGTCGAAACTCAAAGCGAAGCAGCTAAAATCGAAGCACCGCGAGTCAACCCTCGGAGGTTAACGTAACCGCCGGAGGTTACGAGAAAGTCAAAGGTCAGCGACCTTTGACCTGACACAGCGTGACAGCTAGGACACACAACTGACTCGACATTGAGCAGTTGCCCGAGTCGCACTGTATCGAACCGCAACAGTAAAACAGTTACAACTATGTCTCTTCATATTCTCTGTACTCATATATATATTCTTGTATCTCTTTACTTTAATTAACTTACTTTGCTCTCACATACTAGCGCAAGGTGGTTCAAGGACTTTATTCAAACGCTTCCGCTACTACATCATTTACTCAGACTTTAACTCTACTAAAGATCCTAGGGCGTCTCAGCCCAACAAGGCTAGCCCCAATATAGCCTAGATAGTTTTATGCATATGTTTTGACACACCCCCATAGGCAAAATGAGGGATAGCCAGACCAAGCAATGGTCACAAGACCAGTCAAGAGAAGAAACAAAACACAGCTCAGGGTGGATCACAACGTCACCACACACTCTGAGCACAAGCAAACGACCACAAGGCCAGTCCACATGCAGAGGTATATATGCAACAAGAACAGCACAGTGATCTCTATCTAGCAAGAGCAAGCATGCAGGTATATATCTCAGAATCCCAACCACTAGACCATTGGGATAAAAGGGCTTGTTTCAGTAGCGGGTCAGTGCGCCCATAACCCCCCAGGCAATCGTGCCTGTAACCCTTCCCTAGGATCAATCGGGGATCACTAGAGGACCTCTGACACCCCCCGCACTGGGATGCCCGAAGTGCATACACCGGGATTCGAACCCGAGACCTTCGCTCTGATACCATCTCAGAATCCCAACCACTAGACAATTGGGATAAAGGGGCTTGTTTCAGTAGCGGGTCAGTGCGCCCATAATCCCCCAGGCAGCCGTGCCTGTAACCCTTCCCTAGGATCAATCGGGGATCACCAGTGGACCTCTGACAATATATATATTGATCACAGTACAAGCAGAGACTACAGCAAGTGTGGAAACTGTCAGAATGTTATCTTATGCTCTAGCCTGTAGTGGGGTGCTCTATAGCAAGTACAACCCTTCTAGGGTTTGCTATTTGTATCCCCATTCTTGCTAGTGCAACCCTCTTCTCTCTTCTAATTTTCACATCGTATCAGAGCAGGTCGATCCCCTTGGATTGATCCTGTGGGTGGGCTTACCACCTCCTAGCTTCCGCTGCAACTCCTACCAATACACTCTGAGCCGCACGCCACGTGGCGTGCGGCACTTTTTATTCCCGCCGTGCGCCCCGAGGCGCGCGGCGGTTTTCGGCCCGCCGTGCGCCCCGAGGCGCGCAGCGGTTCTCTGCCCGCTGTGTGCCCCAAGGCGCGCGGCGGGGTTCTGCCCCGTCGTTCGCCGCGTCACCCTCTGGAGGCGCCACGACGGGCGACGGGGACCCGTCTCGGCGCACCGAGGGCACGTGCACCGGCCCCGTCGCTCGTCCCCGTCGACCTGCGTGCGCCTCCCCGTCGCCCTTCGCGGCGGCCCCGTCGTCCCGCGCGCGACTCCCCGTCGCCCTTCGCGGCGGCCCCGTCGAACCGCGCGCGACTCCCCGTCGCCCTTCGCGGCGGCCTCGTTGACCCGCGTGCGGCTCCTCGTCGCCCTTCGCGGCGGCCCTGTCGACCCGCGCGCCGCCCCTGGGGACCTGTGCACCCGTCCCCGTCGACCTGCGCGTCGCCCTGCGGCCCCCCTCCCCGCACACCTGAGTTCGATTACCGCACATTCGAGTTCGCTTCCCGCACGCTTGTGCACGCTTCATGCACACCTGAGCTCGCTTCCCGCACACTCAGGGTATGGGGGTGACGGGTATGGGGGTGATGGCTGTGGGGGTGTCGGTTGTGCGTGCCGTCCCCTTATCCTCCTCCTCCTTCGTCTCCCACTGCTGTAGCTGTCGCTGAGGGGGGTGGATGTGTGGGAGTCTGGGGTTTCGGGTTTAAGGGGGGTGCGTGTGAGTGGAGCTAGCGGTGTAGCAGCGGGTGCGTGCCAGGGGGAGTGGGATAGTGTGGGGAAGCTGTATGGAGGTAGCCTTTGTGTCGCCAGCAGCACCTGTATTCCGGGGAGTTGCTCCGGTAGCCCAGTCGTAGCCAGCTGTGCCAGCCGGCCGTGGGTCCGTTGCTCGTCTGCCGCTACTTTAGCCGCGAGGCCAGTTACTCCAGTATTCCGGGGCGTTGTTCCGGTAGCCGCTGTGCCAGTGTGCCTCCTGTTGCCCGTGTGTTTGCAGCTTCAGCCGTCGCCTCCTATCTCCTCTCCCCTCACTCTCTCTCCTCCTCCTCACTTGCCCGTTGTGACTGTCAGAATGAGAAACGAGAATGAGGAGTGACTAGCAGGAACAACAGTACAAATATGTCAAACCCTAATCTGGTGTACCCCTTATGGTGTAACCCACTACAGCCTAGAACCACACAAACATATAAATGTTTGACACACCCCCATAGGCAAAGTGGGGGAGACCTAGGGGTCACAAGACCAGTCAAGGCAAAACAAGGTAAACAAGCTCAGGGTGGATCTCGAGGATTCCACACAAATTCCGAGCACAAGCAAGCGGTCACAAGACCAGTTCACATGCAGTTTTATAATACAGCAAGAGGTACAATGATCACAACCTAACAAGGCAAACATGCAGGTATATATATAATGATCACAGTACAGGTAAAGTCAAGAAGTAAGTAAGTGAGAAACAGTCGGCACAAGGCCTAGAAGAGTGCAAAAACGCTGATGGTCAACAGGCGGAAGCGCCTTGGTGAACACATCAGCAGTGTTGGCCTCAGTGGCCACGTAACGCAGAAGAAGCTGACCACGCTGCTGTAGCTCTCGAGCTAGAAAGTAACGCAGAGCAATGTGCTTCGTCCTGTGCTCCAGTCTGTGCTCCTGGCACAAGGCAATGGTTGCCTTGTTGTCGACGTACAGCACTGGAGGAGAACGAGGCTGCTCTCCAAGGTCAGTCAGCAGGTAGGTGAGCCAGCGAAGCTCCTGGGCAGCCATGGCCGTGGCGTAGATCTCAGCCTCACAGCTGGAGCTGAGAACAGAAGAAGAACGAGTAGAACGCCAAGAGACAGAGCCAGAGCCAAGACTGAAGGTGTAACCCTGAGACGACCGCTGAGTAGCCTGGTCGTCTGCCCAAGAAGCGTCTGAGTGCCCAGTGAGAACAGGCCGGTCTCGCCCTCCAAGCACTAGCCCCATGCCCGACGTACTGCACAAGTAGCGCAACACCCTCTTAGCTGCATCCATGTGCTCCTTCCGGTGACGGCCGGGAGCAACATAGCGTGCTAAGATGCTGAGAGGGTATGCTAGGTCAGGTCGAGTGCAGGTCATCAGGTACATGAGGCAGCCCACAAGCTCTGGATACGGACCACTCGACTCTACGGACTCATCCGAAGGCAGAGCTGAGAGCGAGTGACCCGTAGGCAGAGGAGTGGACTGAGGCGAGGAGTACGTGAAGCCGAAGCGCTGAAGGACCTGCTGCACCATGTGTGACTGAGTCAGGGTAATGGTGCGGCGTGCTCTGTCCCGGGTGATCCGCAAGCCAAGATAGCTTGTCAGTTCACCCAGGTCTGTGCACGTGTGTCTCTTCTGCAGCTCGGACTTCACGTGGGCGAGTGCGGCAGTGTCCGCAGTGGCAAAGACCAAGTCGTCGACGTACACGAGGATGTAGAACGGCGGCAGCGGGTGTCGGTGCGCAGAAACAGCGACGGGTCAGCAGTAGAAGGAGCAAACCCAAGAGCCGCAAGTGTAGTCCTCAGTGTGTCGTGCCACTCACGCGGCGCCTGGCGGAGACCGTAGACTGGCCGCCGGAGGCTCCACTGGGTGCCAGGAGGGAACGACCCAGTGAAGCCAGGTGGGCGGCGCAGCCAGATCTCCTCGTGCAGGCTGCCCTGCAAGAAAGCTGTGCTGAAGTCAAGAGAGTGGAGCTCGTAGTCACGCTGAGCGGCGACGTGTAGCAGAACCCGAAGAGTGGTCATCTTCGGGGTCGGGGAGAAGGTCTGGAAGAAGTCAACTCCCTCTCGCTGACTGAGCCTCGTGCAACGTAACGCGCCTTGAAGACAGGCGGAGAGCCTGGCGGCCGCTTCACCCTGAAAATCCACATGCCACTGACGATGTTCGCCCCAGGTGGGGGAACGTCGTCGACGTAGGTGCCTGTGGACTTCCAGGAAGCCATCTCTGTGTCCATGGCTGACTGCCACTGAGAGGAGTAGGGACCGGCCATCGCCTCTGCGTAAGAGCGTGGGGTCGGGATGTCTGGTGCATCCGGGTCTCCCTCAGGGGCAACAAGCATGGACACGAGATGGGGCAAAGCAGCGGCAAGGCAACCAAACTCCTCCTGCCTGTCCTCAAGGACGTCCGTGCCAAGAGCACACTCACCCCCGACGGACGGAGGACAGGCAGACTCAGACTCAGCAACAAGACTCGCTGCGTAGTCTAGACGACACGCCGCTGCAAAGTCGACAAGCTCAGTGACTAGGGCAGACGCAGCAGCGGACTCAAAGGAAGGGTCAGTGACAACCGTAGCCAAGAGACGTGTGAGAGTAGGACAGGCAGCGCGAAGGGAGTCTGACTCCGGGTCAGCAAGAGCAGGAAGAGAGGACGCAGGAGGCGACGGGAGAGCAACACGCTGCGGAGCAGTGGACTGACGAAGCGCCATCCGGTGCGTGCCTGGGACAGCAGGAGGACGCTCACGCGGGACACGACTACCAGTGGTAGCAGCTCGAACAGGCGACGCTCGACGAGACGCAGGTGACACAGGACGTGACGCAGGCTCACGTCTCTCAGCAAGACCGTCAGTCGGACCAGTGTAAGGAGCAGGCACAGGGAGTGGTGAGGCAGGCGGTAACTGTGGCTGTGACTGGACAGACGGCGGACACTCTAAGGCGAGAGGAGAACAAGGAGGAGGAGGCTGACCAAGAACCTGCTGAAGGAGCGGAACGAAGTACGGTCGTGGCCGTGCAGCAGCTCTCGAACCAGCAGAGACACCAGCGGCAGCAGCAGCACCTCCAGAAGCAGCAGCACCTCCAGCACCAGGGTCTGCAGTACCTCCAGCAGCACCTCCAGCAGCACCGCCAGCAGCAGCAGTACCTCCAGCAGCACCGCCAGTAGCAGCTGCACCTCCAGCACCAGGGTCCGTAGCACCCACAGCAGCTCCAACGCACGGGTCCTCAGTACTAGCAGCACCTCCAGCAGCACCGCCAGCAGCAGCAGCACCTCCAGCAGCACCGCCAGCAGCAGCAGCACCTCCAGCACCAGGGTCCGTAGTACTCGCAGCAGCGTCAACTCCGGGGACCCCAGCACCAGCAGCTCCACTACGGAGACTGATGTGCCGAGCGTACCACTCTCGAAGCTGAGGGGAAGAGGGCGGCTCCCGCCGTGGTGGGGAAGCACGAGTACCAACTCCAGCAGTACCACGAGCCCGAGACTCACCCCGCCGGAGGCTGCAGTACCGTGAGTACCACTCACGCAGCTGCTGCGAAGAGGGAGGTCCTCCAGGCGCCTCACAGTCAACTGCAACACCACCAGGCTCAGCACCCCCAGGCTCAGTAACTCCAGGCGCAGTACCCCTAGACTCAGCAACGCCAGGCTCAGTACCCCCAAACCCAGCACCCCCAGGCTCAGCACCCCCAGGATCAGCACCCCCAGACTCAGCACCCCCAGGCTCCGCCCGCTCAGGCTCCGCACGCTCAGGCTCCGCACGCTCAGGCTCAGCACCTCCAGCAGGACGCGAGTCGACAGCTACCTCGGCAGGCTCAACCGGGTCTACCTGAGAGACACCTGAGGGAGCGGCACCCTGAGGGGGAAGGGGGTCTACCACTGCAGCACCTGGCGCGAGGAAGAGAGGCGGGGGAGGGAGCGGGGCAGTGCGGTAGGGGAAGAGGCGGTAGAAGGGCACGGACTCGTCAAAAGTGACGTCCTGAGAGGGGAAGACTCGGTGCGAGGCGGGGTGGTAAAACTGCCAGCCAGACGCATCCGGGACAAAGCCAAGAAAGACACAGGGAGCAGTGCGGGAGGAGAGCTTGTCCGCAGACGTGTCGCGAACAAAAGCTCGGGATCCCCAGACACGGAAGCGAGACGCATCGCCAACCTCCCCCGTCCACAGCAGTGTGGGCGAGGTCTCCGGAGCGGAGACACGGGGCCAGAGGTTGAGCTGATGCGCAGCGTACCGGACCGCAAACGGCCACAGAAAGTGGGGGGCAGCCGCGTGGACTAAGGAGGTACGAGCGACCTCCATGACCAAGCCAATGCGGCGCTCGGCAACCCCATTCTGCTGTGGAGAGGCCGGGAGCGTGAACGACTGGCGAATGCCATGCTCGGCACAGTAGGCTGCCAAGAGGTCGGAGGAGAACTCGCCACCTCTGTCAGAGTGCAAGCGCAGAACAGGAAACTCCGAGCGAAAACGCTGTCGCAGCTGAAGACGTGCTCTGCTGATCCAGGGGATCAGAACATCAGGGACTTCACCCTTGGTGCGCAAGGGGAAGACCGTGGTGTAGCGCGAGTAGTCGTCAACGACGATCAAGAAGTACCTCTCCTGGCTCTGACCACGGACGCGGGCTGGGCCCCACACGTCCATGTGGAGCGTCTGCAAAGGAGCAGTCGTCGGGGGGAACGAGGAGGAGTGAGGGGCAGCGCGCTGCCGCCCCTCGACACAGGGAAGACAAGGAGGAGCAAGGGACAACAGTACAAATATGTCAAACCCTAATCTGGTGTACCCCTTATGGTGTAACCCACTACAGCCTAGAACCACACAAACATATAAATGTTTGACAGTGACTACCACTAGCTTTGTTCATAATTGTGAACCTTAAACTATTGCTTCTTGAACTTGTGCTCAGAATGTGTGGTGACATTATGATCCAGCCTGAGCTTGTACTGCTTTGCTTGCTCTGCTGATTACACCCCACTTTGGCTATAGGGGTGTGTCAGAATGTAATCTTATGCTCTAGCCTATAGTGGGGTGCTCTATAGCAGGTACAACCCTTCTAGGGTTTGCTATTTGTATCCCCATTCTTGCTAGTGCACTCCTCTTCTCTCTTCTTACTTTCACACTCGAGTCCATATCCTGCTATTCGGATAGAAGTGCGGCGCATAGCGCGGCTTCTGATATTGTTCCTCGCTGTCGGAGTAACGCCTTGCAGGGCTTCCACTCAGACCCTAAATCGTATTCAAAACTCGCTCTGTCTTGCACATCTACCGAACATCCCTTTTCTGTGGCTCCCGTTACAGGATTCTTACCGATTTTGCTAAACGTTTTGAAGGAGTACATGCTGACCATCCTTGCGCCCACGAACACTGTGTTAGAGACTAAGGCATGAAATGGTGTGATTAGGTCAAGAGTGGGGTACAAAACTAGAGTGTCGAGAATATTTATGTACCCCCTAAGGCTAGCCCCAATATAGCCTAGATAGTTTTATGCATATGTTTTGACACACCCCCATAGGCGAAATGAGGGATAGCCAGACCAAGCAATGGTCACAAGACCAGTCAAGAGAAGAAACAAAACACAACTCCGGGTGGATCACAACGTCACCACACACTCTAAGCACAAGCAAACGACCAGTCCACATGCAAAGGTATATATGCAACAAGAACAGCACAGTGATCTCTATCTAGCAAGAGCAAGCATGCAGGTATATATATATTGATCACAGTACAAGCAGAGACTACAGCAAGTGTGGAAACGTAGGCACAAGGCCCAACAAAGTGCAAAAGCGCTGATGGTCACCAGACGGAAGTGCCTTGGTGAGTATATCAACAGTGTTGGCTCGAGTGGCCACGTAAGCAAGGCGAAGCTGACCCCGCTGCTGCAACTCTCAAGCCAGGAAGTAACGCAGAGCGATGTGCTTCGTTCTGTGCTCCAATCTGTGCTCCTGACACAAGGCAATGGCGGCCTTGTTGTCTACGTACAGAACCGGAGGAGAATGAGGCCGCTCTCCCAGGTCGGTCAACAGGTAGGTGAGCCAGTGTAACTCCTGTGCAGCCATGGCTGTGGCGTAGATCTCAGCCTCACAACTGGAGCTGAGAACTGAAGACGAGCGTGTAGAACGCCAGGAAACTGAACCAGAGCCAATGCTGAAGGTGTAACCCTGTGACGACCGCTGCGTAGCCAAGTCGTCAACCCAGGAAGCGTCCGAGTGCCCAGTGAGGACAACTGGGCTCCGCCCTCCAAGCACGAGCCCCATGCCCGATGTACTTCACAAGTAGCGCAGTACCCTCTTCGCAGCATCCATGTGCTCCTTTCGGTGCCTACCAGGAGCCACGTAGCGGGCCAAAAGGCCAAGAGGGTACACAAGGTCAGGTCGAGTGCAGGTCATCAGGTACATGAGGCAGCCCACTCGGCTCTACGGACTCGTCCGAAGGTGGAGCTGAGAGCGAGTCGCTTGTAGCCAGAGGAGTGCGCTGTGGCGAGGACCAGGTGAAGCCGAAGCGCTGAAGGACCTGCTGCACCATGTGTGACTGAGTCAGTGTGATGGTGCGGCGTAATCTGTCCCGGATGATCTGCAAGCCAAGGTAGCTGCGAAGCTCACCCAAGTCTGTGCACGTGTGTCTCTTCTACAGCTCCGACTTCACCAAGGCGAGAGCCTCAGTGTCAGCAGTGGCAAAGACCAAGTCGTCGACGTACACAAGGATGTAGAACGGCGGCAGCAACGTGTCGGTGCGCAGAAACAGCGACAGGTCAGAAGTCGACGGAGCAAACCCAAGAGCCGCAAGTGTAGTCCTCAGTGTGTCGTGCCACTCACGTGGCGCCTGGCGGAGACCGTAGACTGGCCACCGGAGGCTCCACTGGGTACCAGGAGGGAACGACCCAGTGAAGCCAGGAGGGCGGCGCAGCCAGATCTCCTCGTGCAGGCTGCCCTGTAAGAAAGCTGTGCTGAAGTCAAGAGAGTGAAGCTCATAGTCACGCTGAGCGGCAACGTGCAGCAGCACCTGAAGAGTGGTCAACTTTGGGGTGGGGGAAAAGGTCTGAAAGAAGTCTACTCCATCTCGCTGACTGAAACCTCGAGCAACATAACGAGCCTTGAAGAGAGACGGAGAACCTGGCGGCCGCTTCACCCTGAAAATCCATATGCCACTGACGATGTTCACCCCAGGAGGGGGAACCTTGTCAACGGAAGTGCCTGTGGACTTCCAGGATGCCAATGTGAAAAGTTAGAACGAGAATGGATGAACTATGAATGAAGTGAGTACAAGTACTAACCCTAATTGGGTTGTACCCCCTATGGGATACCCCACTATAGCCTACATAAAAGCATAAGATACAATGTTCTGACACACCCCAATAGGCAAAGTGGGGGAGAACAGGGGGTCACAAGACCAGTCAAGCAAAGCTCAGGGTGGATCACAAAGTCACCACACATTCCGAGCACAAGTTCAAGGCCACAAGGCCAGTTCACATGCAGGAGTACATATATATATAAGGCTAGAAAAGCAAGAGCAGGTAAATATATATATGTAACAGTACAAGTAAGGTTAAGAGGTGAGCAAGTGAGGCAAGACAGGGACAAGACCCAGCTGAGTGCAGAAGCGCTGATGATCACAAGGCGGAAGTTCCTTGGTGAAGACATCAGCACTGTTGGCCTCAGAGGCCACGTACGCAAGCCGCAACTGTCCACACTGCTGTAGCTCACGAGCAAGGAAGTAGCGGAGAGCAATGTTCTTTGTTCTGTGCTCCAGTCTCTGCTCTCGACACAAGGCCAGCATGGCCTTGTTGTCCACGTACGAAACTGGAGGAGAACGAGGCGGCTCTCCGAGGCCGGTCAGCAAGTAGGTGAGCCAGCGAAGCTCCTGTGCAGCCATGGCCCCAACGTAGATCTCAGCCTCACAACTGGAGCCGAGAACAGAATACGAGCGAGTAGCCCGCCATGAAACAGAGCCGGAACCAAGGCTGAAGGTGTAACCCTGTGACGACCGTTGCGAAGCCTGGTCGTCAGCCCAAGAAGCGTCCGCGTGCCCAGTGAGGACCACTGGACTCCGCCCTCCAAGCACTAGCCCCATGTCTGACGTACTGCACAAGTAGCGCAACACCCTCTTCGCTGCAGCCATGTGCTCTTGTCGGTGTCTCCCAGGAGCAACATAGTGTGCAAGAATGCTAAGAGGGTATGCAAGGTCAGGTCGTGTGCAGGTCATCAGGTACATGAGGCAGCCAACAAGCCCTGGGTACGGGCCACTCGACTCTACGGACTCATACGAAGGCAGAGCTGAGAGTGAGTGGCGAGTAGACAGAGGAGTGGCCTGAGGCGAGGAGTACGTGAAGCCGAAGCGCTCAAGGACCTGCTGCACCATGTGTGACTGAGTCAGGGTAATGGTGCGGCGTGCTCTGTCCCGGGTGATCTGCAAGCCAAGGTAGCTGCGCACTTCACCCAGGTCTGTGCACGTGTGTCTCTTCTGCAACTCGGACTTCTCGTAGGCGAGTCCAGCAGTGTCAGCAGTGGCAAAGACCAAGTCGTCGACATACACGAGGATGTAGAACGGCGGCAGTGAGGTGTCGGTGCGCAGAAACAGCGACGGGTCGGCAGTAGAAGGAGCAAAACCAAGAGCCGCAAGTGTAGTCCTCAGTGTGTCGTGCCACTCACGTGGCGCCTGGCGGAGACCATAGACTGGTCGCCAGAGACTCCACTGGGTACCAGGAAGGAAAGACCCAGTGAAGCCAGGTGGGCGGCACAGCCAGATCTCCTCGTGCAGGCTGCCCTGCAAGAAAGCTGTGCTGAAGTCGAGAGAGTGCAGCTCGTAGTCACGATGAGCAGCAACGTGCAACAGTACCCGAAGAGTGGTCATCTTCGGGGTGGGGGAGAAGGTCTGACAGTAGTCAACTCCCTGCCGCTGACTGAAGCCACGAGCCACGTAACGCGCCTTGAAGACAGGCGGAGAACCCGGCGGCCGCTTCACCCTGAAGATCCACATGCCACTGACGATGTTCGCCCCAGGAGGGGGGACAGCGTCAATGTAGGTGCCTGTGGACTTCCAGGAAGCCATCTCTGCACCCATAGCTGCCTGCCACTGAGAAGAGTAGGGACCCTCTATCGCCTCCGCGTAAGAGCGCGGAGTCGGGATGTCAAGTGCATCCGGGTCTCCCTCAAGGGTAAGCAGTGCGGACACGAGATGAGGTGAAGCAGCGGCCAAGCACTGGAACTCCTCTTGCCTGTCCTCAAGGACGTCCGTACCAAGGGCACACTCACCCCCGACGGACGGAGGACAGACAGACTCAGACTCAGCGACAAGACTGGCAGCGTAGTCTAGGCAACATCGAGCAGCAAAGTCGACGAGCTCAGCAACTAGGGCAGACGCAGCAGTGGACTCGAAAGAAGGGTCAGCGACGACAGTAGCCAGGAGACGTGTGACAGTAGGACTGGCAGCACGAAGAGAGTCCAACTCCAGGTCGGCAAGAGCAGGAAGAGAGGACGCAGGAGGAGAAGGCAAAGGGGCACGCAGAGGAGCAGTGGACGGACGCAAAGACATCCTGTGCGTGCCAGGGAGAGGAGGAGGACGCTGACATGAACCACGACCACTAGCGCGAGCAGCACGGACAGGCGACGCAGGGCGAGACGCAGGCTCACGACGCTCAGCAAGACCTCCAGTAGGACAAGAGTAGGGAGAAGGAGCAGGCAAAGGGGAGGTAGGCTGCAACTGGAACTGTGACGGGACAGGCTGTGGACACTCTAAAGAAGGAGGAGGACCAGTAGAAGGGGGAAGACCAAGAACCTGCTGCAGGAGTGGAAAGAAGTACGGTCGAGGCCGCACGGCGACGCCAAACACAGCAGAGACAGCACCAGTACTTCCAGCAGGAGCACCCGCTCCAGCAGCACCTCCAGCAGCTCCAGAACCTCTAGCAGCACCAGGAGTACCCTCGGCAGGACCGCTAGTCTCATCGCCAACACCCTCAGCAGCACCAGCTCCAGTCGAATTCGCAGGCCCAGCAGCTCCAGTACTCCCAGTACGAGCACCTCCGGGACCCGCGACAGCAGCACCCTCAGTAGCCGAAGAACCTCCAGCACAAGCAGCACGCCTCCAGCGCCGGGCAAACCACTCACGCAGCTCCTGTGGAGAGAGTGGCTCCCGCAGAGACGAAGCACCCGGAGGACCTCTAGGCAGAGCACCTCCAAGCTCAGCACCCCCAGGCTCAGCACACGCAGGCTCAGCACCCCCAGTCTCAGCACCCCCAGGCCCAGTACCCCCAGGCTCAGCACCCCCAGGCTCAACACCCCCAGGCTCAGCACCCCCAGGCTCAGCACCCCCAGGCTCAGCACCCCCAGGCTCAGCACCCCCAGGCTCAGCACCTCCAGGATAAGCACCCCCAGGCTCAGCACCCCCAGAGTCAGCACCCCCAGGCTCAGCACCCCCAGAGTCAGCACCCCCAGGCTCAGCACCCTCAGCAGCACCAGAGTCACCAGTGACCTCGACAGGCTCGACTGCGTCTACCTGGGACACACCTGAAGGGGACGGACCCTGAGGGGGGAGGGGGTCTACCGGAGGGGGACCTGGTACAAGGAAAAGCGGCGGCGGTGGGAGGGACGGAGTGCGGTAGGGGAAGAGGCGGTAGTAGGGGACCAACTCGTCAAACGTGACGTCCTGGGAGGACAGAACACGGCGAGAGGTGGGGTGGTAGAACTGCCACCCAGGCGCGTCAAGGGGGAACCCCAGGAAGACGCAAGGAGCAGCACGAGGGGACAGCTTGTCCGCAGACAAGTCGCGGACAAACGCTAGAGATCCCGAGACACGGAACGCCGACGCATCGCCAACCTTCCCCGTCCACAGCAAGGCTGGGGAGGTCTCCGGCATGGAGACCTGGGGGTGGAGGTTGATCTGATGCGCCGCGTACCTCACCGCAAACGGCCACAGAAAATGGGGAGCAGCCGCATGCATCATAGACGTACGAGCGACGTCCATGACCATGCCAATGCGGCGCTCAGCAATCCCATTTTGCTGCGGGGAGTCCGGAAGTGTGAAGGTCTGACGGATGCCTCGTGCGCGACAGTAGGCTCTCAGAAGGCCAGAGGAAAACTCTCCGCCTCTGTCCGAGTGCAGACGCAGAACAGGAAAGTCCGAGCCAAAGCTCTTCCTGGGCTGGAGACGAGCTGCGCGGATCCAGTCGATCAGCACCTCAGTGACATCACCCTTGCTGCGTAAGGGAAAGACCGTGGTGTAACGCGAGTAGTCGTTAACAACAAGCAGGAAGTAGCGCTCGTGACCCTGTCCACGGACGCGGGCTGGGCCCCACACGTCCATGTGAAGCGTCTGCAGCGGGGCCTCTGGCGGAGGAAACTGGGAGGAGTGAGGGGCAGCCCGCTGGCGCCCCTCGACACAGGGGACACAAGTAGGGCCAGGGCCCTGAGGAAGGGGAGGGAGGGACCGGGGGAGACCAGAAACAAGAAGACGGGAGGCCATGCCTCTGATCCCAAGCAGAGAGGGGTGACCAAGGCGGTGGTGCCAGAGGAGGGTCTCGTGAGACAGGAGACGACACGAACAGGGGGCAGACTCAGGACCAGACCTGGATGCAGCAGCAAACACCTGACCCGATGCAGCTACCCTACTGGAGGAGACGGAGTGGTTAGTGTGTACAGGCTCGACCCCGGCTGACGGGTAAACGTAGCCAGGTGTCTGCCTGTGCTAGCCTCTGTACAGTGCGTCACCCGCTGACGCGCAGGAGTGAACTGGTGGACTCCCCCATCCTGTAGGATAGCACCACTCACCAAATTCGTAGAGAACGAGGGGAGGTAGAGACCAGACAGGGTGCCAGAGGGAGCCGCCGGACACGGGAGGACTGTGGAGAAGTGAGCCAGGACACGACCCCCAGGGGTCAGCCAGAGACACCGCAACCGGGCGACTAAGCGGCGTGAGTGTGGTGCGGTCGCGAAAGAAGGAGCGAGAGGCCCCAGAGTCAAGGGTGAAGGTGAGGGAGGCCGAAGCCGACGTAGTACCTAAGAGCGCAGACTCACCAGTACCTAAGGACGCACACGTACCAGCACCTAGAGCAGCAGCATCGCAAGCACCTAGGGCAGCAGCCTCACCAGTACCTAGAGCAGCAGTCTCAATGCCCGGATCGGGCGGGAAACACCGGTAACAGTCACCCTCATCACTAATAGACACAGCATACATGGCAGAAAGAATGGCATCAAAATCAAGATCGTAGATAGCTACTCCCGCCCTAGAAAGCTCGCCCCAGCGAGGGATCTCTGTGGCCTCCGGGAACTGGCGACGCCACGCACCCGTCAGGCGGCCAAAGCACCGCTGGGTGGGGTGCGCACCCCCACACTGCTCACCCGCACGGTCGCCGGTGCGCAGGACGTAGGTGCACGGACCAAACCCCCCACCCTGCTGGCGTGCAGTGTACCACTCACGGAGGTGCTGAGGGGACAGGGTCTCACGCCCGCGCTGCTGCTGCTGGCACTGACCACCACTGGAGCCACTCCTCTGCGTCGACTCTCGACCAGCTCCACCGCCAACCCCGCCGCCTCCACCGCCTCCGCCGCCTCCGCTACTACCGCCGCCTCCGCCGCCTCCTCCACTGCCACCACCTCCGCTACCTCTGCTCCCACTGCCACCGCCGCCGCCGCCTCCGCCTCCACTGCCGCCACCGACACCTCCACCCCCACCTCCACTCCCACCACCACCCCCACTCCCCCCGCCGCCTCCACCTCCACCTCCACCGCCCCCGCTCGCTCCTCCAGTGCCCCTGCCCCCTTTGCTCTTGCCAGAGCGACGTCGCCCGCTAGGGGCAGACGCCGCACCGACCGACTCAAGCCCAAGGAGGTCGGCCGTAGCAGCAGAGGCAATAGAGGGCAGAAGGGGGGAGGGGGAACACCCCTCAAAGATGGGGGTGCGTGGGTCACCACGAGAGGCCCCTACAGCGACGATGCTCTTCTCGGCCGCTAGGAGGGACTTCTTGAGGAGGTCAACAAAGAGAGTGGTGGGACAAACAGAGAGAAAGTGGTCCATGACTGCGCGAAGGGAGTCAGGGAGGCGAGTGACTAAGTAGTAGAGAGTGATGTACATGGGGAGGGGGTTCTTAGCGCAGAAGTCAGGAGGAAGCGCAGCGCGGTAGCGAGTGTCACTAGTGCGGAGGTGCGTAATGAGGTCAGCGACTGTGGGAAAGGCAGCAAGGTCAGGGAAGAGGTACGGTAGCATGAGACAGCTCAGTGCAGCAGTGGCAAGGGAGGAGTAGCGTGCAACTACAGCGTCGTACAAGGTCTGAGCACTCTTGTACTGACTAAAGTGCGCACGCTCGTAGGTAGGGAGGTGGCGACGCACAGCAAGACGTGCAGCAGCATCGCGCGTGGCCCACTGGGAGCAAACAGTGGCGTCAGTATTAGCAGCAGGGGCAAGAGGGGCGCCAGAGGTGAGGTCAAAGAGAGAGAGACCGTCTGCCCTATCGCACTGTAAGAACAGCTGTAGGTCATCTACCCAGACGTCAAAGTCGATGGCTCGACCCTCAGCATCAAAAGCGAGGACACTAGTAGTAGCCATGACGACAGTAGACAGGCAATGCAACAGTAGGGAGAGGGCAGTGTAGTAAAAGAGGTACTGTGCTCACCGGACGGGGCTGCTCGGGCTGCTCGGAGGTAGGGCGGCTCGGCTGCTGGGCGGCTCGGCTGCACGGCGGCTCAGCTGCTGGGTGGCTCAGCTGCTGGGCGGCTCGGCTGCAGGGCGGCTCGGCGGCTCAGCTGCACGGCGGCTCGTGTGCTGGGCGGCTCGGCTGCTCGGTTGCTGGGCGGCTCGGCTGCCCGGCTACACAGCTGCTGGGCGGCTCGGCCGTGCTGCTGCAGGGCGGCGCGGCGGTCTGCTGCTCGGCGAGGTGAGGCAGTCCGGGCGGCTCAGGTGGCGGGCGGCGCTGCAGCAGGTGACGGGGCCGCAGGGAAGGCGGCTGGGCCGCAAGTGAGGGCGGCAAGGCCGCAGGTGGCGGCAGGGACCGCAGGCAAGGGCGGCTGGGACCGCAGGGGTGGCGCGCGGGGTCGACGGGTGGCGCAGGGGGGGCCGCCAGGGCGGTGCGCTGGGTCGACGGGTGGCGCAGGGGGCCGACGGGTCGACGGGCGGCGCAGGGGAGGGCCGCTGGGCCGACGGGCGGCGTAGGACGGCGCTGGACCGACGGGCGGCGCAGGGGAGGGGCCGCTAGGGCGGCGCGCTGGGTTGACGGGTGGCGCAGGGGGCTGCTAGGGCGGCGCGCTGGGTCGACGGGTGGCACAGGGGGCCGACGGGTTGACGGGCGGCGCAGGGGGCCGCTGGGCCGACGGGCGGCGCAGGGGAGGGGCCGCTAGGGCGGCGCGCTGGGTCGACGGGTGGCGCAGGGGGCCGCTAGGGCGGCGCGCGGGGTCGACGGGTGGTGCAGGGTGGGCCGCTAGGGCAGCGCGCGGGGTCGACGGGTGGCACCAGGAGCCGCACAGGCGGCGCCCGGGGTAGACGGGTGGCGCGACGGGTCCGCTAGGGGCCGTGAGAGGAGAGATCCACGGAGCGCGACTCGGGCAGGGACTGAGCGCGCTCCGGGCAGAAAAAAAAGTCGAATCGGTGGGCCCAGGAACAGTTCCCACGAGGGAACCTGCTCTATACCATGTGAAAAGTTAGAACGAGAATGGATGAACTATGAATGAAGTGAGTACAAGTACTAACCCTAATTGGGTTGTACCCCCTATGGGATACCCCACTATAGCCTACACAAAAGCATAAGCTACAATGTTCTGACAGCCATCTCTGCGTCCATGTGTCAGAATGTATTTGCTGTCTAGCCTGTAGTGGGGTACTCTGTAAAGAGTACAACCCAATTTAGGGTGTTGTACTTGTATCCCAACTCTTGCTAGTGAAACCACTCATTCTCCTTTCCAACTTTCTCGACATTGATCAACCCTAAACCTAAGCTACTAAGACACCAACTAGCCATGGCTCCTAAGTCACGCTAGATTCTTGAAATGGTATTCAGAGCAGGTACCTTCCTGCTGCCTTCTTGCTTCCGCTGCCTATCGTCCTGCCGCGCGCCCGAGGCGCGCGGCGTATTTTTCACGCTAAGTCATTCTTGAAACCATGGCTGTCTGCCACTGAGAGGAGTACTCACCCGCGATCGCCTCAGCGTAAGAGCGCGGGTTCTTGATGTCTGGAGCATCCGGGTCTCCCTCGGGGGCAAGCAGCATGGACACGAGATGAGGCGCAGCGGCTGCAAGACACTCAAGGTCCTCTTGCCTGTCCTCAAGGACGTCCGGAAGACAGACAGACTCAGACTCAGCAACAAGACTAGCGGCGTAGTCTAGACGACAGGCAGCAGCAAAGTCAACAAGCTCAACAACAAAGGCAGACGCAGCAGCAGACTCAAACGACGGGTCAGAGACAACTATGGCTAGCAGACGCGTGACAGTCGAGTGAGCAGCACGGGTGCGGTCAGACTCAGGCTCAAGAATGGTAGGCAGAGAAGACGCAGGAGGGGACGGCAGGGGAACACGCTGCGGAGGAGAGGAAGGACGACGAACTACGACGTGAGTGCCGGGGACAGGCGGCTGACGAGAACGAGGAACACGACGACCAGAACTAAAAGAACAGACAGGCGAGACAGGACGCGACGCAGGCTCACGACGCTCAGCAAAACCCCCTGTCTACTCAGTGTAAGGAGGAGGAGCAGGCAGCGATGAGCAAGGCTATAACAGAAGACCAGTAGACGAAGGGAGACTAAGAACCTGGCGAAGCACAGAGTCAGACGGTGGCTGAGACGACGGAGACGGTGGAGCGAAGAACAGGCGCGGCTATGCAGTGCCACCAGCACCAGCAGCTCCAGCACCCCCAGTAGCTCCAGCACCCCCAGCAGCTCCAGCACCTCCAACAACTCCAGAACCCTCAGCGCCAGCTCCTCCAGGACCAGCTCCACCAGTAGCAGCACCCCCAGATTCAGCACCTCCAGTCCTCGGGTCTCCAACCTCAGTGTCTCCAGCAGCCGCACCCTCAGACTCAGCAGCACCTCCAGCCCCAGCAGCTCCAGTACCTCTAGTATGAGCACCTCCGAGACCAGCACCACTCCCAGCTCCAGTGATGACAGCAGAAATACCTCCAGCGGCAGAGCCTCGAGCTCCAGAAGCGCGACCCTGACGGCGACTGTACCAGTCGTGCAGTTGTTGTGAGGTGAGAGGCACACGCGGACGAAGGCGGTTACTCCCGGGAGACCGCGCAACAGCAGACTCAGAACCCCCAGCGCCAGCACCCACAGCAGCTCCAGAACCTCCAGCGCCAGCACCCGCAGCAGCTCCAGAACCTCCAGCGCCTGCACCCTCAGCAGCTCCAGAACCTCCAGCGCCAGCACCCGCAGCAGCTCCAGAACCTCCAGCTCCAGCACCCTCAGCAGCTCCAGAACCTCCAGCGCCAGTACCCTCAGAAGCTCCAGAACCTCCAGCTCTAGCACCCTCAGCAGCTCTAGACTCTGCACCCCCAGGCTCCGCACCTCCAGGCTCAGCACCCCCATGCTCCGCACCCCCAGGCTCAGCACCCCCAGAAGTGGCACCTCGAGCAGGACCACCTTGAGCAGAACCTGAGTCACCAGTGACCTCAACCGGTGCAGTTAAAGGAGGAGGGTCTACCTGAGACACACCTAAAGGAGCAGGACCGGGAGTGGGGAGGGGGTCTACCCGGGGAGCACCTGGAGCGACGAAGAGCGGCGGGGGGGGGGGGGGAGAGGGGCAGTGCGGTTGGGGAAGAGATGGTAAAAGGGAACCGACTCGTCGAACGTGACGTCCTGAGAGGGGAAGACACGGCGCGAGGTGGGGTGGTAAAACTGCTAACCAGGCGCGTCAGGGACAAAGCCAAGGAAGACACACAGAACAGCACGGGCGGAGAGCTTGTCCGCGGTGGTATCGCGGACAAAGGCACGAGCACCCCAGACCCGAAACGCGACGCATTGCCAACCTTCCCCGTCCACAGCAGTGTGGGCGAGGTCTCCGGCAAGGAGACACGGGGCCAGAGGTTCAGCTGATGCGCGGCGTACCGGACCGCAAACGGCCACAGAAAATGGGGGGCAGCCGCATGGATCATGGAGGTACGAGCGACCTCCATGACTAAGCCAATGGGTGACCAAGGCAGTGGTGCCAAAGGACCGTCTGGTGCGACAAGGCGCGACACGAGCAGGGGGGCGACAACTGACCTGACGCAGACGGAGACGCAGCTACCTGAGGGGACTCAGTAGTCAGTGTGTACAGGCCTGACTCAGGCTGCCGAGTGAAAGTAGCCTGGTGACGACTCGCCTGAGCACACGTGTAGTGTGTCACACGCTCGTAGGCAGGGGTGAACTGGTGAACACCCACGTCTTGGAGCGCAAAACCCGCCACCAAGTTCGTAGAGAACGAGGGGAGGTAAAGACCCGACAGTGCGCCGGACGGGACAGCAGGACAAGGGAGGACAGTGGAGGAGGTCGCACGGACTGGACCCCCAGAGGGGTCTGCCAGGGAGACTGGAACTGGCCGACTGAGTGGCGTGAGGGTGGTGATGTCGCTAAAGAAGGAGCGAGAAGCACCAGAGTGAAGTGTGAAGGTGTAGAAGGCCTCAGCAGGCGCAGTACCAGAGAGAACAGACTCACCAGCACTTGGAGCAGCAGGCTCTATACCTGGGTCAGGCGGTACGCACAGGTAACATGCACGGTCAGCACTAGTAGGCAATGCATACATGGCAGTGAGAATAGCATCATAGTCAAGAGCAAATATATCTACCCTCTGCCCAAGCAGCTCCACCCAGTCGGGGAGCTCAGCCTCGTCGCCAAACTCGGTACGCCAGGCGTGACTCAGATGGGCGAAGCAGCGGGACTATGTGTGACCAAGTGTCTCGCAAGCCTGACCAGTCCGATCACCTGTGCGAATGACGTACAGGCAACGAACGGTAATTAGAGACCCTCTACTCTGAGTGTACCACTCGTGAAGCTGCCGGGGCGTAAGTGTCTCACGTGTACGCCCCTGCTTCTGCAGCTGGCCACTGCCACACGCTCCCAACTGACCAGCTCCAGGGCGACAGCTACGACGGCTACCACGACAACCCCAACTAGCGTACCCCTCACTAAGCTGTTGGGGCGTGAGAGACTTGCGCGGACGTCGCTGGAGCTGCATCTGGCCACCGCCAGTAGCAGCAGTAGCAGTAGTAGCAGCTGTAGCAGCAGTAATAGCAGTAGCAGCAGTAGTAGCTCGACCACCCCTACAACCCCAACTAACGTACCACTCACTAAGTTGCTGGGGGGTGAGGGACTCACGCGGACGTCGCTAGAGCTCCATCTGGCCACCGCCAGTAGCAGCAGTAGTAGTAGTAGTAGCAGCAGTAGCAGCACTAACAGCAGTAGTAGTAGCAGCAGCGCGTGCAGGGCAGGCGCGGCAGGCAGGCAGGCCGGCAGGCAGGCACGCAGGCGGGCAGGCAGACAGGTAGGCAGACAGATGGCGCGGCAGCGCGCAAACAAGGCAGGTGCTCACTAGTGGCGGAAAGAGCAGGCGCTCGCCGGGCGAGCAGGGGTCCAGGGGTGGCGT